TTCCATTAAAAACATTTTTAATGAAAGTTCCAGGACTTTCATTAAAATGTCTCGTACAAAATAGCTCTGATCTAGAGCATCTGACGGCACAAGAATTTCATTAAAATTTTAATGAACTTCATTTTAATGAAAGTTTTTTTAATGAAACTCCAGTATCCCCGTATAATACCTCAAGATCATGTACAAATTGATCAAGTAGAAGATAAACACGTTGTAATTCATCTTGATTAGCCGATTCAGCAGAACTGGCAATACTCATTACTTCTAATTTTAACATATAATTGTAATATCATGTGCGTAGAAAACCTTAAAAATACAAATGTACAACAGTGTTTGTTTACAGCAAACTTAGTTCCTTGTAGCCCTCCACAGTTTGCAGCCACGTCTCAAGGTTTTCAAAGCAAGGTGTTTTTTAGGAAATTCCTTGCAAGGAACAAAGGCAATAACTTTCGTTCACTTGTCTATTCAGATAAACAGTTACTTCTTAACCTCAGTTTCTCTTGAAAAACAATTAATAGTATCTTACATACCTTTTAAGAAAGAATGTCCAACGTGTAACATTAATCTTAATTCAGATGCTTTGAATCTTTTCCAGTCACTTAATAGTCTAATTGTTCTAGAAGTTGTGGTTGGAAATCTAGTTCTTTTTAAAACTGATTATATTTTTGTTAAATTTTTGAACACCGACCATAGTTGTCTTCGATAAGGTGGTGAGAATGAAAGAGCTTATAGAATGCACCTCGATAAACTGTATGCAAATCGTCAATACAAAATGGAGGATCATTATCAAAATATGATAATCTTGATAGTTCCGATCTTCCTATTTAAAAAAAAGAGAAAATTTGCAGAGACTGTTGTCACAGGATTTAACAATGTCACAGAAAAAGAAAAACAAAATTATACCTAAATGTCCTTTACACTCGTGTACGTCATCATCAGCCTGATCAGCTGTAGCAGCAACTGTTAAACACTGTTGACATGTTTCATCATTTCGATATCTATAAGTATCATTTATAGCATATGGGAAAACACGAATGTATTATTTCCAGTGAAGACGGTTTCACCTGAATGTTCACAGTTGGTACAACCATAGGAAGCATTAAAGATGACGAGATTTTGAACTTTACAGGTTGCTGGCTTGTCGTTGATATTTAATATCAGGAAAAATCTTAATTTACGAGTAGTCTTTAAATCTTCAATATAGAATTCAATACCATTCTCTAAATTTTTTAAATCATTTATAATTGATTTTAATATCAGTTGAAATTGTCGCTGTGTCCGTAGTGATGGTCCCGGCCATACACCAGCTATGATAGTGTTCTCTATCATGTAAGCCATCAGTGTTCATAATCATCGTAAGAGTCACCCCCAGCATCTTTATAGATAGCTTTTAAAGTTCTTGTTCGATTCTTAACAAAATCCATAGCAAAACATAAATTTTCATAGAACCCTCTCCTTGATAGTAATGACTGTATTTGTGCATTGATATTTCCTTTAAAACATTTGTGAGGCGTATCAATAACGACATTATAATATTGACAGACAGGATTGCTACAAATGACACGAGCTTCTAGATAATTTGTACTAGTAGGACAAATATTGATTTGTTTAAAATCATACTCGCTAATTTCACACTTTGATAATTGATTACAACTGGCATCAAATGAAGATGGTGCTGTTTGCACTTCTAATGGTTGTAAATGTTTACAATGATCTGTTATAGCAGCGTCTGACAGTTTACGTCGAACTTTATAGATCATCAGTGCTGCACAATGATCTACTTTATCTGGTGTATATTGTCGATGTTCTTCATCGTTCTTCTTCTCATTTTCATCAGCTCCCATCAGAATTTCTGACAACGGAACTAATAAAGAAGGCGGATCGTCTTCATTGTCATTGTTAGTAATAAATGAACAATTAACATCTTGTTGAAAATTATTCCAGTTGTCATTGTCGTCTGAATTATAATTTAGATGATCATTAAAAGTCGTTATTACACTACCTTAAAGAAAATATAAACATTGTATATAAAGACTTTCGGCCAGCAATCACAGTTGAGAGCCATAGAATAACTCATTAATTCCAGTAAAACAGCCTTCACGTTACCCCTTTTCTTCTTCAATGTTACCGCTTCTAGTCGGTTGCTTATCAAAAATAATATCTGCACATTCGATACCTAATGCAAGTCGTTCACGTGCACGTTGACGTTGAAATGTGCGTTGATGCATAATATAAAAGAAGAAAAGAAAGGAAATTCCATTAAAGCTTTTGAATAAGAATCAAATGATTTGGTTGCATTCGTTTTTATAAGAATTGATTTTAACTTATTACTTCTTGCAATTGATATGGCATGTATCGCACTTTACAATATAACACATCTGAGCTCTCAAGCTACACGACGGGGAAAAAAATAAAGAAGTGATCTTACACAAATAAGTGCTCTATTTATAGTTTGATCACCACTTGCTTTTCCAGTTACATTTCAGTCTAGATGTTCATCAAAAGTTAAGAAATAATAGAAATCTACGCTATTAGTACCAGCAAAAATACAAGAACTTTTAACATTAACAGTTACGACAGACATACTAGTAACTCTTCTATCTTAAAAGAAGCAAAAATAAATAAAGACTTCAGTATTGAACAGAAAAAACAAAGAGTTCACAAGCTCTCAATTTCGTTAATATGTAAACAAAATCACTGGCTAATCTTGATCATTTTTTTATTTTATTTTTCTCGATGTAACTTGACACAATGCGAACCTGTGAACTCGCTACAAAACTAAAAAAACGGTTGCACAACAAAGTGTTCCTTTGTTTGATTGGTCTTGTTTGGTTCCAACTAGTATATGTCAGCCTAAAATATACATGACTTTTCACAGTTTATTTGGCTTTGAACTCTAATCTGTGAACAAAAAATACACTTACAAATGATACAAATGATCATGATATTCGACAGAAACATTCAAATGTTGGTCATCAAGTGATGTTTCCTCAACAACTTGTGTTTCTTGACTATCCTGTTTTGATGGATTAGCTGCTGCTTGTGTTTCACGTTTTCTTTTTTGACTTGCTGCTGCTGACGGTTTCGCTGTTGTTGTTTTGGTTGTCTCTTGGTTTTCTTCTTGCTCTTCGTGTACTTCATCATCTTCTTCTGTAGCAACACGACCAGCCAATAAATGCACCCGACGTCTATTTCTGAACATATCGCCATTACTTTTTTTAATGACTTTATAATCAATTTCAATATTGTGCTTATTTTGAACATAAGCGTGAATATTGTGTAGCATTTCTCCACTTAATAGATCGTCACGGTTAAATTTTTTCTCAACTTGTTCAGCATTACTAACAAGCCTTCGTGCAATCCTATTCGCCGTTCCGGTTGCAATCTCTGCACGGCAATTCTACTTCAGCTTAAGTTTGAAGGCGAGAACAACAAAGAATCTACCGCTTCTGGTTGATCTGAACAAAGCACATATTTAAAATATTCCATAACACGTGGTTTTGGCATTTCTAAGAAAAGGGTCATAAAGTAAACCAGAATCCAGTGCTGAATAAGTTCATCACACAAATGAAAAAGAAATGCTCACAGCGCCTGTATGTAAGGCAAAAACGATACTCAGTTGAAACTTCGCGTCACTGGGTTGGTCTCAATGTGAAATGTTGCTTAAAATAACAAGTAACTTTCGATAGGGATATATTCTATGTGCAAAAGTTTCAAGATAAAACACAAAGTCTTTGAGAAATTCTATAAAGAAAAATCCAAAACAGCTGTCTTTACCCATCCAATTCTCAGACAGTCTACTTACGAATATACGTTTGTTTCATTGTTGCAATTGTTTCCTTCGGTAATTTCATTTTATTCTTCAATTCAGCGTTTTCATTAAATAATAGAGTCATATCTGTTTTGTTCTGTTTGAATCGCTTTACTGAACGTGAAGTCACATATATCGATATCATCATCATAGTCATATGCCATGTGACGTTGTGTTGTACGACCTTCTTCAACTGCATTCACTTTATCTGCTACGTCTTCTTCTTGCACACTTCATTCAGCTTTCTTTTTTTCGCAGTTGTAATGGAAGAATCAGTGGTCGTTGTTGGCTGTGCTCGTCGAACTTCGTCATCCATCAGAGTTTCTGACAATGATGAAAAAGCAGATGAGGCAACTACTGATGTATTTTTGTTTTTCATTTGACGTTCTGTGTCCAAAAGAAGAATTGGAGAATTTGGTAGATTTGCAGTTGAAGCTGTTGTGGTAGCTAATGCTTCAGTTGAATTTCCAGCATTTCTGGGTGTAGAATTTATTGGTGTTGAAGATTTTGAAGAAGATGATCGACCTGAATCGTCTGGATGATTTTCTTCTTATTCAATGAATTCCCATTCTTAGCACGGTTCAGTTCAATTTCTTTAAATTTTAGTTGACAATTTTCTTTTGCACCTAATAAAAAGATGATCCATCTTTCTATTGAGAACTTTCAACTCTGTCTCTCTTCCTTTTAAGTCACACAGAACAACAACACCAACAACAACAAAATACGCACCCTACTCTCTTCTATTATTCGATCCTCAAAATGCAAGTGCTTTTGAATATGGTAGATAGATAAGAGAAAATATGTTGACATTTTTTCTTTAAGTACTTCATTATTAACTATTAAATCATCTGCCATACTATAGAGTAAATAATGAACACCGATACCATCTCTTAATTCTAGAAATTCTGCTTTTCCATAAGCAGAAATCTTCATAACTAATTGTTTTTCATTATTATTTAATTCTTTTTTAGCTTGAAAATACACACGCCACCATATTAAATTATCGTAGAGTCTCAGATCAGTCGACACTACCGTCAGTTTATCGATTCGTTACGTCGCCTCCCCTCAATTTTTACTAGTCATTTGGTAAAATCCCACTGAACACGTTTTTATCAGTCTGGTAAGATTTTTCCGAGCTGTTAAGGAGGCTGTGGTAGGAAACCTTTAGTCGACATTTCGCTTTTCGAATTTGACATGTCACAGGAGATACCATTGATTAGGGACAGAAGGAAGGTAGAAGGTAGCCCAAGTTATTTGACTGAGTGAGATGCGTCGCAGCTTGAGTTAGATGCTAGAAGTGCCGCAAATGGTCCACGCACGACTCGCGTAAAACCACGTGCATCTGTAACAAGTATTACTTCTCGCGTTCGGTCAGTCAAAACCACTACTTCTCAAGTTAGGCATCGAATTGAGAGAAACGAAACCACCGGGATGATCGAAGTAATCAAAGAAATGAATAAAACACAGAGAGAAATGAATCGCGATAATCTGGCGATGATGTGGAAGATTGTACAAACTCAGCAGCAGTCTACTTCTCAACCTCAACTAACTGCAGTGCGAGTTCTAACATCCGTTCGAACAGAAGTTCTTTTACCTGCCAGTTATCAGAATTCTAATGCTTCTTTGGCTGCACCGTACACATATTCTTCTCATTCCGATATTTTTCGATATTCCAAATCCTTACCACCGGATGTCCATCGTGTCATCGCTCTAAAGAACATTTACATCTTTCTATTACAAAAAGTGATTCTAGCTCTCTAATCTTCAAACTGAGATTTTACCTCTTAATACATCCGCCGGGACCGTGTCCAATTTGTCGTAAAAATGGACATTGGAGAAGAGATTGCAGGGTTCTTTGCACTATTTGTAGAAAAACTGGGCACAGTGCAAATTATTGCTTTCAACAAAGAGGCAACTCTCAGCTTAGTGCATCTGGCGAACCTACTGTTTCCGGCGGTGATTCACAAAATCGACAGAATTCTAATCATTTAAACTGAAGAGGAAACAGCTGATTGAAGATAAACTGACATCTCATACTGTTCACAAGTCGTCAATTGAACAGTCCAAAGTAGGCATGTGACAGTTCAACAGTTCGTGTGAACTGAATCGAAGAACTGGGTTCCCAGTTCAAGCTCAAATGAACTGAACTGGTCCCCAGCTCCAGTTCACATGAACTGAACTGGTCACCAGCTCCAGTTCACATGAACTGAACTGGTCACCAGCTCCAGTTCACATGAACTGAACTGGTCACCAGCTCCAGTTCACATGAACTGAACTGGTCACCAGCTCCAGT